ATTAAGTTCTGCTTGTACCATTTTCACTGTGATTCCTGAATATTTTCTCTTCAGAATATGATACACTTTGCGAATGTCCGATCCTTTACATTTTGTGAATGTTTCCTTGACAACATATTTACATTTCTTTTCATGTAAGAGCTCTTTTCCGTTATAATATATCTTGTTATCAATTACTTGAAGATTTTGTCTGGCTCTTGAATACCGCCGTATTAATGCTCTTTCAGTACTGGTCCTCTCCTTGACCGGGACTTTGTATGTTCCGTCTATTAAATCATGCAGTATTCTATATTCAGTCACAGATACAGATCCGAAACACCCATATGTTTTGACCGCTTGCAATGTTGCAACAACAGCAGCTACACACAAACATCTGAAAATAAGTGAATAATATTAGAAAACATCGTCTACTACTACGTCGTTATAGTTATGGTTATCGTTCTTCGTATGATTGTTATGATACGTCGTAAAGTGATTATCGTGTGCCGTATGGTGGTTACAGTACGCGATTCTTAAAGTCGTTATTGTACGTCGTGAATTTTTATCGTACATCGTAAAATTGTTATCCTACGTCGCACGTTGTTATCGTGCGTCGTAAAGTGGTCACAATGCGTAGTATAAAGTGATTGTGCTTCTTAAAGCCGTTATTGTACGTCATATTAAGAGTGGTTACCATGCGTCGAATAGTGGATATCGTGTGTCGTAAAGCTGTTATAGTACGTCATATATAGTGGTTTTTATACCTCGTTACATGGTAACAGAGTGTCATACAGCACTAATCGTACGTCATGATTTGGTAAAAGTACGTCGATTAATGGTCATGATAAGTTTTTAGTGGTTATGCATGTAGAACATGTACGTCATACAGTGAATATATTGCCGAGTGATTTTCATACTTCGTGGCATGCTTATACTATAGTACATTATAGAGTAGTAAGTGTAAAGTGGTTTTGGTTTTTTTTAAGTAGAGTTCGTACAACTTTAATATTTAATTAATATTTACTACAATTAAAAAACTTATTGCATTAACAAATCTATTTTTATTTCATCTTGATCTACATATATTTCGAAAAAAGGCGTTTTTAATTTCAATGCAGAACATGGGCGGATCCAGGATTTTTGCCGAGGGGGATCCTTAATTAAAGGAATGAGGTAGTAGTTAACCAAAATTGTCTACGATTTTCTTTTAACAAAAGTAAATGTTCAAATTCTAAGTGGGTCAGACCCCCCTGCTCCTCGCTTGATTCGCCTTACGGTATTAGAACCCTCGCATACCGACGATTATCTGGACTATTGGCAATTTTACACAGATTGAGATAGTGATAATAAGTCAAGTAAACAAAAAATGCATGTATTACCTTAAGATCAAACTCATCCTGTTCATTCAACAACAGCAAATTGAACTTTAGATTGTTCCCAATGATACTAGATGCGAAGAGGTTAGACAAATCCTGAAATAGATAACCAGATATGTTTAGTTATCACCCCTGTCTCGGTGAATCTGTTATGAGAATAAACATGCAATCGACGCTAAACGTCGCAACACTGACGCTAAACGTCGCAATTGCCCTGACGCTAAATGTCGCAACGCTGACGCTAAACGTCGCAAAAAATCGACTGACGCTAAATGTTGCTATGGACCAAAAAGCCGTTGCTAGGGGCATGACAGTGGTTGCCATAAGCAGTCAAGCGATGGCTAAGGGTGCTATATTGATATTATGGACTAAAAGACGGTTGCTAAGGGCGAAAGGTTGTTTGCTTTGGACCTTAGGATGGTTTGTAGGAATATGTAGAAGGTTGCTATGTGTCAACTTGAGTTGCTATGAAGTTAAAGGACTGATCAAGTCGTTTAGATATAGAAATGGCCCCATAAAATCGGCGTTTTTGAACCTCACTAAAGATTCATTATTTCACTACAGCTGTATTTCTTAACAATCGAACTAACATTACAAGTTCACTCTATTGGATTAAATTGGTCTGTTAGTGCTAAATTCACTCGCCGAATGCATCAATATATTTCAAGCTAATGTAAAATCCTCACGTCCAAAAATTAGGACATGATGGCTTTACTTAAGTATTAGCATTGAAAATTCGTCAAATTCATTTAAAATTTCATCACAAATTCGTATCACTAACATTGCATTGGTCTTGTTCAAAATTTGAGAACAAACAGCGTAGGAAAAGTCTGATAAAGTTATCATTTCACGGGAGTAATCATCTTCAATAACATCTCATATTTCGTTTTACGCGTCAATGACCTATCCTTTTCTGATAGAGATTTTGATATCAGCCCACATTTTACGAAATTTTATTTAATGCTCTTGATTCTATGAAAATTTTAAGTTTCGTAAAGTGTGGGCTGATAACAAAGTTTTGAAAAAATAGGAACAAAAATGTCTTTTTCAAGCGAATTTCTATAATTGACGTTACCATGACGTCATTTTGACGCCAGCCTCTCTCCAATATTTAATTGATTGACAAGGGTTTTTACGAAATGTCAACGTTTAAGTTATATTTGAGAATCAGTTTTTCTTTGTTTATGATTCGTCTCTTAATCAGATTAGAGTACAGTTTGCAACACAGTGCATCCAAAAAATATATATTTCGTAAAATCTAATTAACTCACCTTATTTGGAAAGATCTATACATTGATATGTTCTGGTTTCAATTTTGAATTCAATGTCTCTGCAATTAAACTGTTTACAACAGTAACTTCCGATACATGACATTTTCCTCAACACATAATCATAAGTCTATCCCAGGAATTCCAGTAAAGAAAACCAACACTCACTTGGTAGATTTAAAAACAAACATAACAAATTAATGCACAATCGAAACATACTTCCAATGCAATATGTTCAACGGTGCATTTCGTCACTTTGCTTAAACATCTGGACAAATCAGGAAAAAAGTCTCTTTGCATTACTGAGTGCACATTGTTACTTCCATTGTTATTAGACGTATTAATTTCGTCATACATACGTTTCATTGGCAGGTAGATTTGACCAATCTTATACGACACCTTCACTCATCATCATCATCATCATCGTCCTTTAGCAATGAGTAGCCAGCCGCCTAAAAGAGCCTTGTGAGATAGCATTTTATGCTTGTTTATGATCCATGACTGAAACTTCATCAGAATAAGGGTCTGTGTATGGCAGGTATAAAGCTTGCACATAATTACAATATCCGATCAACCTTACTGAGTGTTTTCAAATCAAATCATGACATGATGAAAACTCATATGTTAAGGCATGTAATGTATTTAATTCCAGGAGGGACAAACCCACGAATTAACGTTTCCGGGTGCTCAGAGGTGTACGTTTTGTCATGTGCATCAGGGATATATCGCACACCTTTATTATTGCAATGAAAAACAAAAGATGATTTTGTATAATTTAGAAAAAATATCTGCCTACATTTGATCATCCGATCAAATCGTACAAGGAAGCTGTACGCTGCAGGGTCGTAGGAACGGTTTTAGGATTGTTAGGGGGCGCTAAACTTGTCACACACATTTGGACCAACGTATTTTTTAGTCATCACTATTTTAGTGGTATATTTGCCTTATTTTCACTAATTTCGTCTTCAATATATAGTACATCTTATAGAGTTTTCAAGAATTTTAAAGGGGCTATTCCAATCATTGGGGGAGGGGGATTGCATATGATTTACAATAGCGGTCGATATAATTGGGGGGGGGGGGCTAAGCCCCCCTAGCTCCCACTGTCCTACGGCCATGCGTTGATACGTCGTAATGGACCGATCTTAACGACAGTAGAAAATTAAACATATATATTATTATAAATTGTATTAGATTTGTCCAAAAACATGAAGTAATTTGACTGAAAATTATATTAGATTTTGTTTAAAACTCGTAAATAAAGGGAAGTTTTTGACGTTGTGGAGTTTTTGACATGATTTCAATGAAAGAACACCCAGACGCATCAATTAAAACGTGTTTTAGAGCGTTTGGCGTCAGTTAGCTTCCAACAGCCGACGTCAATAGTAAAAAATTAGGAAAATCAGTGATTTTCAAACGGCCATAATTTCCCAATCTTTTAACTTAATTAAATCAAAATTTCAGCACTTTTTAATCACATAAAATTATTTCTCAATATCTAGTTTTCATCTGCTTCCCTTATGGGGCCGATTCATGCCCTTATCGACTCAACCCCTTTGTTCTATGTAATATTTTGTAATGTTTAGATTCGAAACTAACCTTCTTATCGAGTGCGACATTTAGCGACATTTACGCTAATTTACCAACGTGAAAAGTGACAAAAGTCTCGAATCAAACGCAACCATTAATGTCGTACTCTCGCGTATGCCTATATTTTGTGCGCGAGATAACGAGAGCGTGACAAGTTACTGTCACGAGCATGCTTTCTCGTATTAATATCGCGCACAAAATACTACACTCATCTATGTCCCGATCAGAATACCGCAGTATTTATATGAACATACTGTATCTCCAGAATTGTCTACGGACTATTCCGTACAGCCATGGATAATAATGACTTGATTTATCATCTAGTTGCGGCGTATCATTGAATTTTGGATCGTACAAAGGAGCTCTGAAGAAATATATCAACTAGGGTAGCTATAAAGAATTATATAATCATGAATTAATTACTTTAGAAAAATAAACTGAAAAAGTGGAAATTTATATTACCTGATTATGTTGTCTGCATTCAAGCCAAAATCTCGTCGGATGCGAATCGGTTGAAAGCTTCGTAACAGACTGGCAAGGAAAGTGAATGGTATGGACATTCAGGCTCGTGTCAGTCGTGTCAAAGACATCTAAGTCAATGAAAACGCGTAGCTGTATGGGCTTTACACCAGTCGTTTAGTGTGACAGTTCTGACATTTATATAGACATAGTGGTACATATCTTAATGGGTAGGTGTTTGTGTGTAACGTATGTGATATATAGTCGATATAATATGTACCCCTGTGCATCCCAGTGTCGTTGACGTTCAGCATCATCAGAACATCGTCGGATACCCACGATTGATAAACATGTCACATAACATGCAATCAACCGTGGGTAAAATGAATCGATTTGCGTCGATATACAGCAACAGGTGCGTAAAATATCTACCAATGACATCGCGTTTAACAAAATCTGTATTCTTCAACTGCGGAGGTAAAAAACAGTAAGAAACAAAATGGCAGCGCCCACAGTTAAAAGCTGTTGTACGTGTCTTGGTAAAATTAACGGCAAAAACTATCGCCAAGTCAGTTCATCTGCAAGCAGATATCAATATAACGATATTTTTGCAAGTATTAACGTTTCACCTACTGGATTTTGTTGTAACTTGTGTGTGAATATTCTTAATAGAATCCGAAAATGCACTGAGGATGAAACGACAATCGGTCGTAAATTAGCGGCCGAGAAAAGAGAACTTTTGCAAAAGTTTGAGCAATTGCCAGGTGTTGTTAAAGCACAATCAACGCAACATGTTACTCCAACTGGTATGTATGTGTTTGCGACATCTGACTATCTTTCTTAAAACTTATAGAAACGATATAAAAAGTTCAATTAGAAAAAACGATGGATGCATGTTAAAAATTGGTATACTATAAAATGTTTTCCATATTTTTCTGTAGGAACACAAAATGGACACTTAAATGTATTCATCAATATTGAAAAAATAGTCTCCCGATTAGCCCCTCATTTAGCTGTTTAGTGACGAAAATAATGTTAAAAATAACAAAAAGATGCGAACATCAACACCCCACCCACCCCTCCAGTTCTGGCTTCCCAAACTTTATAAACCACTTTTTAATATTTTTGTTTTTCATTTGATGTGGCATTTAAGTTAACGTCATGTCATACTATATAAATGGGTACGCTGAAGACCTTTAACTACCCCCCTCCCAAACCATACATGTTTTTCAATCCAAATGAATAAAAAATGTTTTGAATAATAAGGGGTGAATCGTCACTCAACTGTCAACATAGACAAGCTGTTGGGAAATCGTTGTATATTGTTTTTTTTTAATATTTAGAAAAAGTAAAGGGTCAACTCGGCCCTGTACCAAGTTGGGATAGGGTCGAGTATGTTTTAGTGCCAAGCTGACCCTGATTCTTTAGAAAGAAAATATATTTATATGTCTGATGATTCATTAGCTTGCAAAATCACTGGTTCGGGATAAGTAATTATTGTTTCTTTGTAACTGTTCCAAGTACTTATTATAGAAATGAATATATAAGAACTTGTTTTTAGTTTTCTAACTCAGACAAGTAGTTGTCCAGGTAGCTAATGAAAGGTTAGTGGTTCTACCTAGGTACAACATGTACATCTGCTTGTGACTGGAATAATACTGGGTGGTCTTCCTCCATATGAAAGCTGGAAATTGAAATATGACCATAGCTGCTGAATACAATGTTAAACCAAATCCTTCATTGGCAGGATAGTACATGTTGTATCTCATGCAAATTTATCTAGTATTTAAACATAAATTCACTGGGCAAGGTTTTGCATATATATTATGGTTAATTCTATATTTTGTAGCATCAAAACCAGGTTCAACAAAGCGTACAATTTCTTCACCAAGTGGTGTTACACCAAAAAGTAAGAAGTCTTTGTTTCGAACACCACAGAAGATCACAACCCCAAAGAGACCTAGCATTACTCACTGTGGACCAAAAATGGTGGATGCAAGCACAGAAACTGTGACTACATGTACAAGAAAGCCATTTGATGTGAAGGTACAGTCAGTGCAATAAATTTATCATTGTTAAAGTTAAAATCTATTTCAAGTAACAATGCCAATTAAATTGGATAAAATCAGTTTTAAGAAATGTATATTCTGGTAAAATATTTCCATAAAAACTTAATTTAAAAGCCACGAGTTTATTCAAATTTCAGATTTTTAATTCCAGGTTTGCACTTGATCAATTTTAATATATTGATGTCATTTAATCAATCACAAGTAATATCTTAGACAGACTCAAGGCCTTAATACAAATAACAGTTATATGTGTTCATTTGATTTCTGATTTTCATGAGTGGTAGAGCTAGTTTAGTAATGAATTTGTCATAAAATATAACATGGCATTGAAACTATTTCTTTATTACTGAATAAAATTCAAATAGTGTTTAACCTGAAACTAAAATATTGTTATAAATATCAGAATTGTTATAAATATTCATAAATTTTTAAATGAATTCTAACAGGTAACTTTGGTGTACAATGAGAAGGAAAGGTCCAAAATAATTACAGACAAAGTAGAGAAATCAGCCATTAAAGCTATTGTCAACAGGAAAGGGCCAGCTGCTGTAGTTAAACATCTATTAAAATCAGAACTATATAAATCTGCACTTTTAAAATGTGTATCAACAGAGATTATTAAAGAGACCTCAGCACTCACTAAAAAGCCAGAAACTGATTTTAAAGTGTCTACAACAAATAAACTCATGAACTTTTCTTGGAAAGACCAATTTGACATCATCAAGTTAAAAACGCCAACTCTCTCATCTGTTTTGGCAAGTTTTATTACAAAGCAGAAAAGCATGGCCCGCTTTGTGGTGGCAGTTTCTGTTCTGTTATACACTGATGAATGATAATGGTTCGGCCGTGGGTATCCGACGATGCATCAGAAGAGATTTAAAGACACAATTCTATGAATATTCAAAAGTACCAATCTAATAGTAACAACCATTTTTGTACGTAAAGACAAATTCATCAACTGTTAAGAAAATTATTAGTTTATGTGCATCAACTGAATAAATGAATATGGTAGAAATAAGCATACCTCTTTTTCTGTCCAAAATGTTTCACATTTTCAAGTTATATTAGTGTTCACTATTAATCAAACTGCGCTTTAGTCGTGAAAATAACTCAAAACCTGATTAATACATTTTCAAAAAACGTAGAATAAATTAATTCTGTCGATAGACTTCAGCAATTTGATGGTAGAAGCAAGAATATAATTTAAATATAGATGAATTATTATTGTACACAGACCACTTGCTCATTAGTCAACGTTTTATTCTGCAAATCATTTTCAAAAGTACATGTACAAATGATGTCTGTACCAAACTCATATTTATGATACTTTCAAATCAATACTTATCTTGAAATCCAATTGATATACATAATGAATTATGTAATTATTGTATATTTTATTGAACAGATCACCTATAACAGTGATTTTACGGGTGATTTGCTACTCAAACCTTCCTCGGGTAAGTCGAGGAAGACTTTCAAATATGAATACCAATTCTACACTTGAGTTCACCTTGACCAAGGCGTCCTCAATTCGTCCTTAAGGAAGCCTTTCCCGAGTTTGAGTGGAGGTTGAGTTCGAGTGACGACACTGAATATAGCTATAAGTGTAGAGTAGCGCAATGCAGATGTTAACAAGATATGTTTGTAAAACATGTATGCCCCCCTAAACACAGCCAATTTAATATTATAACATTAGATTTTTAAATGTGTATAAAAAATGCATAGTACAAAATTGTTATGGAATACATGTATATCATTGCCATGGGGCAGAACCAATATGACCCATGGGTTCATGAATTGAGTTAACCCTGTAGTTGTCAATGAGACAATGTTACAAACAAAATATCTTCTAAAAACAAGCTTTTCATGGTGAGGTCATCGTGACCTTTACCTTTGACCTACTGACCCCAAAATCAATAGGGATCATCTACTAGTCATGACCAACCTCCACACCAAATATGAGGACCATCAGCCAAAGCATTGTCTAGTTATTGAGCGGAAATGGCATGGTCTACGGACCGACGGACCGACCGACATGGGCAAAGCAATATACCCCCACTTCTTCGAAGGGGGGAATAATAACTTATTTTATTTGACTTTTTTATCGTTGGTACCGGTTGCCCATATGACCAAAGTCCCCTGAAGATTGTTAGTATATTATTTTTCGGGGGATAGTGCATGATACAGAAGACGCCCCGTTCCAGAGGCGACCCTGGTTCTTTAAGTGCCCGGTGTAAAGCACCAGTACAATGCACCTCGGTTTAACTTATTTTTTCCCCTTTTAATAGTAAGGGAGATAGACTGTATCCAACAATCAACTTATTTTCAAATACATTTTTTTAACTTTTTTAACAATCTCACAAGCATCCCGCTAGAGTCCCGGTGGTCGGTCGGGTGATCCAGGAACGACCGGGGTACGTCCGTAACTCTGTCGGCAACGTCCGGGATGATCAATGGCTCTGCCGGGGCTCTACCGGTGATTGTCGGCACTCTATCTGACCGTACCGGGGCTCTGCCGGGATCATCCGGGACTATGCCGACATCATCCGGGGCTGTGCTAGCATGGATCTCAGCTTTTATGATCTCTTTGATCGAAGACTTAACAGCGTTTGAATATCGTGTTAGGTCATCCGTCGTCCACTTACTATCTGCATTATCCGTAGTTTCAACTTGACTCTGCATGGATGGCCCGGAGTTCATCCTGGTTGTTATAAGTATGGAAATTGGGTATCGCCGTAGTGCTACCGGGGTTATTGAGACTGCAACAATATTTTCATCCCGGATCGTCTGGGGTGGTCCTGGGCTTTGCCGGGATGCTGGTGAGAACGCTACTTAAATCGGTACTTTTAATCCCTATGGAAACCTTTATAACTGGCTGATGCATTACTGTTGATCATAGAATTAAGTGCAATTAACATATGAAAAGTTGAGACATTTATCGTTAACCGATTTGGACATTTATGAGCACCTAATTTGTTGCGACATTTTTCGTTATTTTTTGGACATTTATCGTTAAAGGAGTTTTGCACATTTATCGGCGATTGAGACATTTATCGTCAATTTTTGGACATTTATCGTCGTTTGGACATTTTTCGACGTTTGGACATATATCGGCGCTACAACGTCAAATCAAAGAACCTCGAGGATTAATACCTTTCTTGAAAAAAAGCGAGTTTTTGCGTTTAGCAAATAAGATGTCAACACTTTCAATTTCCGATATTAATGAACTTTACTCTGGAATAGTTGTGATTGTAAATCTAGCAACAAATTTATTCATACCTAAAATAAAGCTTACTGGAATGACAGTCAATAAATTGCACATAACAAGAGCGATCAGTAATCACATGTGTCGCCTCATGATGGCCAATTTCATGTTGGGACAAATTTTGTGACAGACGGACTGACAGACAGACAGTGCACAACTAGACTTTGTACTGATCATTCCTGTAAAGTTTGGATAAAATTGCACCAGTAGTTTATGAGGAATAGTCCGGACAAGCTTTTGCGTATCTGGCAACACACAGAAAAAAACACCTTTTTATCAAAGGGCCATAACTCGGCCAAAAATCATTCAACCGAAAAACCCGTGCAATATGTACAAGAACTTAAGCTACTGATCAATCCTGTAAAGTTTCATTGAAATTGCATCAGTGGTATAAGACGAGTAGTCTGGTCAAACATTAAAAAAACCTATAACTCAAGCAAAAATCATTGGACCGACAAAAAGCTGATGATATGCACAACTACATTTTGTATTTATCATTCCTGTAAAGTTTGGATGAAATTGCAGCAGTAGTTTATGAGGAGTAGTCCGGACAAGCTTTTGTGTATCTGGCAACACACAGAAAAAGAAACCTTTTTATCAAAGGGCCATAACTCGGCCAAAAATCATTCAACCGGAAAAACCCGTGCAATATGCGCAAGGACTTGAGCTACAGATCAATCCTGTAAAGTTTCATTGAAATTGCATTAGTGGTATAAGAGAAGTAGTCCGGACAAACTTTAAAATTAAAAATTATTAAAGGGCCATAACTCTGACAAAAATCATTGAACCGGAAAAATCCTGACAATATGCACAACTAGACTTGGTACTGATCATTCCTGTAAAGTTTGGATGAAATTGCAGCAGTAGTTTATGAGGAGTAGTCCGGACAAGTTTTGTGACGGACGGACGGACAGACAGACAGACAGACAGACGGACAGACGGACAGACAGACGACGGAGAAGTGATCCCTATATGTCGCCACTACTCCGTAGAGGCGACACAAAAATTTGAAACAAGCGCAAGCACTGTGGATAAGCGACGGAAAGCCACGTGACACCACTTTCGGAAAATACGTACGTTTAAAAAAAGCCAAGATCCTATAACCGAAAACACATCGTCAATCCGTTTTATCCTTCCTAGATAAAAAAAATGTTTGCTAGTCAAAGCATCAGAATTAGACAATAATGATTTTTGGCGATTGGTAAATAAAAATAATTCAAGAACCAAATATACACCCGGTTTTGAAATGACTTTCAATGGAATTACTGTATCAGATCACGGAAACTTGAAATTCTATCAAATAACCAATATTAATGATAATATCCAAATATACCCCCTATATACTATAAATATTTTTTTTATATAATATTGGGGTATATTCTGTATATTATCGTTAATATTGATAGAATTTCAAGTTCCTGTGATCAGATCCATAGGAAGTCAACGAGGGCTGGAAATCTTGTTTCTCGCAAATATTCTCAATGAATAATGATAAAACTTTGATTCTGATTACAAATCTCTTGTAGAAGGTAAACTTGAAACAATTGAAAGCGAAACTATCGAAGCGAACAACGTGCAAAATACCTAATCACCAGCGTTATGGTAAAACCAGCGCTTAATTCATGCAAGAAAAGGAAAGCCTGTGGCCAAGACAATCTATTTTATGAGAACTTCATTAATGGCGTAGAATTATTGATAAAATGTATTACAAAGCTCTTAAATCATATGTTTTAATGCTCTCTTACACATATATAAATATGAAAAAAGAAATAATAACAGTTTTATTTAAGGGAGGAAACAAGAAAAGAAATGATCCAGCTAGTTACACAGCTATCTCCCTTTTTCCATCTTGTTTATGTCACGGTTCAGAACTGTTCACTATTAAGGGGAGAAGATGTGTAAGCGGCCGGATAGCTCTGTCGGTAGAGCCGCGGAACGGTATTCCAAAGGTCCCGGTTTCGAGTCCCGGTTAGGCTGCAAATTTTTCTCACCCTGTGACATTTGGCACCCAACGTGTGGCCGAGAAGGTATAAGCCCTGAGTTCAATTTCACATTGTTTTCTTTACCCATTAGAAATTCGAGAACGAATTTCAATATAGCGGGGGAGTATGTCACGGTTCAGAACTGTTCACTATTAAGGGGAGAAGATGTGTAAGCGGCCGGATAGCTCAGTCGGTAGAGCCGCGGAACGGTATTCCAAAGGTCCCGGGTTTAAGTCCCGGTCAGGCTGCACATTTTTCTCACCCTGTGACATTAAAATTATTTGAAAAAGGTCGTTCTATTTGCATAAATGGATGGTGGCATTCATTTAAACATATCACAAGGTACCTTTCCAAAAGAACGTTATCTGTTTGGTGACAATATTAATGCCTCGCAAATGTGTATAATATTCCATGGAAAATAATTTTCCAATGTATACATGTTTTTAGATGCGAAACAAGCATTTGACCACACTTGGATTTCTTCATTTTTACTAAAACCGTATCAAAGTGGTCTTAATATATCTTTGTTTCAAATATTTAAATCGTTCTTCGAAAACATGACATGAATCTTCGCGAAGACATAACCGAAAGCTGCCTTAAACTTAGGAAAACATTATTTCGCTTAACTAACTGTGAAATAGGGCAAAATGGACCAAACCCTATCACTTCAAGGCGTATTTACGAAACTAAAGTGTTCTTCCAGCTGCTCTATTACGGGAGTGAATTATGGAGGGGTGTCACCACGACCCAGTTACTGCCATTGGAACGGGCCAAATGGATTCAAGGCGTTCCATATGGAACTCGTACTGACATTGCTCTCAGTTGTTTAGGGATTTATCTGATATCTTACCTTATTGATATAAGAAAACTTATCTTTTTGTCTCAACTATGTCATACAGATTCAAATATGAGGTTTAAGCATTTTTTTGTTAATCGTTTAACATCATATTATGCACGACCTGCTAAATCTAAAGGCTTTTCCCCGACATGATCTGTGTTCTTGGAAAATATAAACTATCTTCATATGTACATGACTTTTCAGAAACAGGTTTCTTTCCATCTAGATATGCTTGGAAAGTAATAACCAAAATGATGATACACGAGCACGTACTTTGTTCGTAGAGCACGTTGACGACATCAGGCTATTTTTATATATGCATTACACATACGACTACAGCCTGTAGTCGTATGTATAATGCATATATAAAAATAGCCTGATGTCTGCTCTTATATGGATTTTTCAAAGACACTTCCAAGTTTATAAAACACGTTGCTCTTCATTGTTTAAACTGATGTGCAAATATTTTAAAAGAAAATTTCCCGTTATGTGTGACTATTGCCAAATTCTTAACTGAAATATAGTATTAATAACAGCGGCGCCAAAGAAATCACAGAAAATCGTTAAGAATGATTTATCCATGCCAAGGATTATCTACCAATCATATTTCAATTAATGCATGTTGATGTTTCATTGTCATATGTAAACTTTCATATATGATCAATGTTTTACTAACTATCATGTCATTTTCTTTAGGAGGTTAATGCTTTACTAGTCCTCATACTAGTATAAGGATTACATCTATCTGTGTTTCTGTTTTGTTATAAGTTATATTCTTATTTTGGAGATATAGAATCATCGTTGCATTATAACATGTAACTCTTCAGTGTTGGAGGAAATAAAGATATATATAGAATAGCCAGCGGTTAATGCGTCGGATAAGTAATCTAAGGATTCCGTGAACAAGGACCTTTACACTCATTGCTTACTACAAGTAGGTTCCAGGAACGAATACGAGAGTGTTTCAATAAGCTTATAGCTTCCAACACAATCGAACAAAAATAAATTAGTATAAACCAAAAGATTTACATGTAAAATTAAAACTACAACTGTATTCCACGTTTTATTTTCTCTAAAGCTACAGTTTCTTGTATTTGAACGTTCTCATTTAAACATCCATAGCTTGGTAAAAAGTTTTGTCTTTCATAAACAAATGATATAATAAGATAATAATGAGATAAGAGTTATCGTTTTTAACATTTCATGGAAGCTTCTTTGGGAGTGTTATGCGTTATCAGTACCAATGATAATATTTAATAGCAACATGCGTGCGAGTTATTCAGTATCAATAGCGGAACTTGCATTATAAAAGCGTACGTCCGGCAATCATGCTGATATGTACATCAATATCAGATTGACAAAGCGAATAAATTGTCCTGAAATATTCAATTGTACACAGAGAGGTAACCCAGGAATACATTTTAATTTTATTTACTTTCTGCATAACATTACTAATAGCAACGAACATCATTTAAAAAAATGTTACTGATGTAGTGAATGTACATACATTTATTTATATACAAGAACACATATCATAAATGTGTAAAAAATAATATATATTTCATTGATAATATTTATTCTGGTATTACCAGCAATACAAAATCAAATTAAAAATGTTCTTCTTTTGTTTTATTTTTAACAACCATATTCTTTTTAACCTGTAGACAACTAATCACAGTTGATTTATTTGCTCAGTCATCGCAAAAATTGAAACGGTTGCTTTGGAAACAAGATCACTAATCATCTGTCAATGTTTTATTTTAGATTTTCAGGTCCGCCACTTTCATATTTCATGACATCTTCTTTGAGACTGATATCAAGTGTTTTGTCACCACGAGCACGAGAAATTCTGTCAGCACCTATATAATTGTACAAAAATATTCATTAGTTATGTATCAAACATTAAGATATTTTCGCTGCATATAAAAGATCTGTAAGTCCCTATATAGACTACGATAAATATTATAATGTTTTCATACTCTTACTTCACTGTCTTTTTTACAACATCAAGTACATAAATGTAGAAATCACTGTACCAAATTCAAATAATTTAATTCCATTTAACGATAGAATGACAGATAAATTTTCTTTTGAAAACATTCAGCAGTTATTAAAATCTGTTTTTATCCATTTATCGCCGGACAAACATTATAAATATAATAAACCCCAATGGAGTCTATCACTGTGTTAAGTTTAAATCAAATCCCTTAAGTACTTTTCAAGTTTTCTCCAGACAAGAATTATACGTGCAGGACGGACGGAAGGACGCACGGACAAGGCGTCGACAAAATGCTCTCCCTTCAGGGAGTATATATTAGCCTTAAGATAAAAATGTTTTGTTATGAAATACAATTATATTAAGCGTGTTAAAATATATTTTAGTGATCATATGATTTTATTTGTATTACATGTATTATAAAGATTATTTTTAAACAATATTCACACCTTCCTTTATCATTTCACTTCTTCTAGTTTTGGGACCTGTTGCCTCTTTACCAGGATTTTCTTTAAACTCTTTATCCAGCTGTGCACGGTCATGGTCGCCATAAATCATAGCTTGGAAGCCATCTTTCATCACTTGTTCTGTTACATTGTCACTTAAGAAAGAAGTATAATTCTACGAAAACCTTGGCTTATTTTCGATTGTTTCACCATATAGTATTTTTCTTATTTTTAAAAAATGTTTTCGTTTTTAAATCATCAAATAAGTGTACCGGTTAAAGGTCAAAAACATTGTCGGAAGACATTTACTGTTTTCTTTTATCAGAAGTATCTTTTTACCTTAATGTAGTCTTGCTCATTTATGCAAATATCTTCACAATTGTTCGACTTGTAAAATATTAAACATCACAAATATAGATTTGTGAACATTATTCGCAAATAATGATATATACCTGTTAATTGGTTTATGAAATGTGCCTCCTTTAACCAAGATTTCGTAAAGCTGCATGATATAAAGATCTGTTTGATGAATTTCTTTTAAACCCATCTCTGCTCTTACTGCAGACCAACCAAGTGTTCGGCTCTTCAGTTCTCCACGAAGCGCAGCGAATACTTCTGGTGGGCATGCTTTCGTTTGAGTCTCGAAGAGTAAAAGCTGACATTCCACATTGCTTTTGATCTGAAAGTAATAAAGATAAGCGAACACTCACTAAATTACGTGTCCCATATGTTATTGTTTAACAGATATTTGAATAGAATCAAAGAAATGTTCTTGTTTGGTTCTTTTATTTCTTGTTTTGTTTAACCCAATATTTTGCAAATACATGTTCTACGTTTCTTACTTACATCATCAAATGTTTTATGTCTCTGATCTGGAATGAAGATTTCAGAATGTGGGATATTGTGTTGTATTTTAAACTGCTGTAGCTCTCTTCGTTCATACTCCTCTAGTATTGTTATAACATTTCCAAAAACGCCATACAACATCTGTTTGCTTGCTGTAAAATGCGATGTGTTATTGTTTAACTTTATTGAGCTACTCTATTTGATATCATTAATATATCATTAAGAACAAAGAAAAGATGCCATTAATATATCATTTGGAGCAAAGAAAATGACTTTAGCGTGTCAGACAGAATTCTTCGTTACTAATTTTATTGGATCAACTTGTTACATGCACCATCGACTTCTACAATTTTATTTTCCGTTTTTTTTTTAATTAACTCAGAAATTTAAAAAATAATGTGCGTTTGATAATCAAATGTAAGTCAACTACCGTGTATATCCAGTTACGCCGGAAGGTGAAAGTTACGCACGATTCGTGCAAAAATTTACGCAGAATTTGTGCAATAAATGGCGGATACCTGACAAGAATTCCGACGCGGTAAGTAAACTGGTCAATATAATTTTTATTAAACCAAACTGAAAAAAGGAATAGCCGTATACGGGTGCGAAGACATTACTCTTTTTCCCTCATCAAGATTATTTCCACGAAATTGCTTACTTTTTAAGATCATTTGTAAAAATGATGGTTTGACCACCATATTGAGCTTGATTTTGGCTTTTTGTCGACTCTTATAAGTACAACAATGCATTATACCGTATAATTTCGATTTTCGGTAGGCAAATGACATTTATTAAACTTTTGGTGACATAGAAAATTAAAAATAAGCTGATTAGATGTGATTCAAGCCATTTTTGGGTAGGTACCGCCGATGTACGTGAATAATGCTTCCCAATAAAGCCGGAAAATGTGATTGTTTTCATATATGGTACTGAATTGCTACTCATCTTTAACGCCATTAATCGGCAAGTATTAGAACTTTTCAAATATATGTATATATCTGTGGGGAACTTAATTTGATTTCATACAGAATTTAATTTAGTTTGATTGCGTCGAAAATATAGTCACAGTTTCGAATCTGTCCAAGAATCCACAGAGCTAAGCCCCATAAGCTTCGTAATATAAATCTTTGCTGAATTGAGTACGAATTAGCAATGCGTGAAAAGTACAACGGGGTAGCAACGGGCTAGCAGTTTGACATAGTAGTTATAAAAATGGGCTTCGAAAAATTATAAAAAAAAATCTCACTCTTTATTAATTATTTGACATAGTAAACGCAAAAAAGTCCACTTTGAGACCTTCATGGGATGGACCAATTAACTCTTCCACAAACACATCTCTAGTAGCTCACCATATATAAGTACATTGAGAAAGTAAACAAAATATATTCAACCTATCTTAAGTCTATTTCACCCTTTACCTGATAAATCTATGAAATAGTTTTGTATCTAATATCTAATGTATTTGTACAAATGAGCTACCCGAGAAAGCAAATGGTTACTCAGTATGGATGTGACCTGACTTTGTACTGGTGGCCTCTTTTAGTGTTATTAGTCCTGTTAGATTTGTAAATGTCTACAGTAATGCCCAGCGTAAGCTCTTAGATTCACATGTTTTTCGCATATAAGTTAACATATACATGTAATAAGAAACCTAAAGAGTGGGGTAAAACTTTACCCAAAGGGTTATAATGTATTTAACTTTAGCAGAGGATAATAAGGAAATGCAATTTTTCAACTTTTGAACATCACCAGGCAAATTACTACAGCCAAAAATTGTTTTGGTTGATTTCATATCACGCCAACACAGTAAAAGACATATGGAGACTTTCAAGCTTGACCGGTGCATTATTTCAGGCAAAAAATATACAGACACTTCTTCTCTTGATTGTTTTCTTTAATTTTATATTCAATTTATTTACAAAGGAACTTTTTTTGTTCTTATTGTCTAATAATATCAGACGTTGGCAACATGTTTGCAACTAACAATTTATTTCAGGAAACAATTATAAGCTGTATTAAGTTACAATATGCAATCAAAATGTTGAAAGTTTGTCAAGATTTAATTCTCATTTATTTTGTAAAAGAGTTACAAAGACAATGCGTTGATAAGACGCAACAAATACTTGATTATATTCGCCGATAAAAGGCGTTAAACATGTGTAACAATTCAGTACCATACAGTATATGAAAAAAAATCACATTTTCCCATATTCCGGCGTTACCGCGAAGCACTATTCACGTACAACGGCGTTACTTTATAAAAAAGGATTGAATCACATTTTATCAGCTTATTTTCAATTTCCTGTCACTAGAAGTTTAGTAATTGTTACTTGCCTACCAAAAATCGAAATAAATATGTATAATATGCATTGTTGTACTTATATGAGTCGACAAAAAGCCAAATCAAGATCAAAACGGTGGTCAAGCCATGTCCGAAAGCATGTCAGGTATCCGCCATTTATTGCACAATTCTCGTTACTTATTGCACGAATCGTGCATTATTTTCACATTCCTGCGTTACTGGATATACACGGTGTAAATGAAGAATATCATATTTCTGCATAATAAAGGTATAGTTTGGATGGCCGATTTATGCTACAATGCATCTTGTAGCTAAATTAAAACACGAAGAATATGAATAGAACTTGCAACTTCTCCGTCCTGAATAACTTGTTGTAATTTCGCGATGGCGGGAATAGAGATCACGTTTATTTGTCAATTTTATTACTCTCGACCGTATGTTTCTTCACACAACAGCTACCGTTAATGGCAAAAACTTACCGGTATATCAATTAAATTAGAACTTAAAGAATTATACTTTTAGATGTGTCTTGTGCCTTGGCGAGTAATTGTTTAAAAACAGACTATATAATTACCTTCCAGAGATCTTTGCAGTTGTTGTTGAATTTGAGCTTGTGTGTGATCTAAGCTCTGCTCAATAAATGAATTGCTTTCACTCGTGACTGGCTCCGTGATATCCGTATCCATTTCTTCACAACCGATACCAACCTTACCATAGTATTTTGAATTCGTTTTCTTGTTGGGAATTTTTCTTCCGCTACTCATCGCTGTATAATAATAATTGTAAAAGAAAGCTTTCGGATAGTGTCACTCACAGTCCTTTTTGATAAGTGTATATCAAAAACGGGTTAGCTTGAGGAAAAAATGTGTATTAAAATAAACTTTCTTATTGAACAAAATAACCTAAATCTTATTCTTCCCTGGCGAACAGTAATTTAAGAGTTGATACTAAATTAACTAAAGCCTACAACTCAAGTAGGATACGGTTGATGTCCGGAAAAAATGCTCAGTGTCGCGATCTTCTTGTTTTAAAATAAGAATAAAATGTACAATTTATCCCTACTTCCTTCTTTTATAAGTCGTAAAGTTGTTTAATCTTACGTTTGTGTTCTCATAATTAAATAACTTAACGTGAAATAATACTCACTTGTGCTTTCCTGTTTCACAAGTTCAACTTTAATATGTAAATATACAGAAAGAACTTCTTTCACGTGTACGAGGATTGATCAAAAAGTTTTAGGCCCGAAGTACTTCCGGTAACTAATGGTCTTACTTTTCAATATGAACATCAACGCACTTTGCCCACATGTGCTCCAACTTGTTTAATCCTTCAAAATAGAACTCTCTGTTTTGGTTCTCAAAGAACTCATTGACCGCCTTCATGACACCTTCATTTCTTCCAAAACGTCTACCACGAAGCTTGGTTTTCAGTTTCGAAAACAGGTAGAAGTCAGAGGGGCCATGTCCAGAAAATATGGGGGATGGGGAAGAATTTCAAAGCCGCAGTCAGTTGCAGCCATTGCAACTTGGGATGTGTGAGCTGTCGCATTGTCGTGCAGGATCAGAACGCCTTGAGTCAGTTTGCCCTTCCTTTAAGGGGCGTCTTCTTGAAACAGGCTTCTCAATTCGTCTGCATAGTACGTACCGTTTATGGTACGACCTTGCTCAAGATAGTCAATCATGACTAGCCCCTGATTATCCCAAAAAATTGAAGTCATCATCTTCCCTGCTGATGGCACCTTCTTGAATTTCTTCGGATGGGATGAGCAAGGGTGCTTCCACCGCAAGCTCTTTTTTTATTCAGGATCGAAGTGATGGACCCATATTTTATCCTGAGTTACGATCCGGTAGATAAAATCAGGATCATCCTCGTAGCGAGACAAAAGATATCTTAAAATGTCAAGCCTGGTCCGTTTCTGGTCGTCAGTCAACTGTCTGGGGACCCATCTTACGGAAACCTTTGACATGTCATAGACATCAGTCAGAATTGCCTGAACTGAACCAAAGCTGATACCCTCTAACCTTGCAATGCTTCGTAGGTGTCGCCTTCTGTCTCACATGCACAGCTTCGGCAGTTTCATCGTTGGTGGCTTCTTTTGGCCGCCCAGGCCGCTCATCATCTCCAATGCTTTCCCTGCCCCTCTTAAATTCAGCAGCCTATTTTTTCACAGTGCTATAGGAAGGGGGTGAAGTCTTCATGGATTTCTTGGGGGCATCGCTTTCTTAAAGAGGTACTTAATGACGGTCCTGGTTTTAACTTTCTCCATTTGGTCTAAATGACACCCCCTCTACTTTTATGTTACTTAATCTGTGTAAAACTGCGCGTAACTCGGTCAGTAATCTTCTATCGACGTATTTTGTGTAAATGTCCGTGTAGTTGCAAAAAGTATGTCGAGCCGAGAACTTTTTGATCATACCTCGTAACCTTAAACCGATAACACGCTGTGTAGTTGGAATGATTTTTTTATTTACCTATTAAAGCATTACCTTGGCGGGAGAATAAATTCCAGTTTCAAAATAAATTTGAAAGATTATTGCATACGTGAAACTGATTCAATGTAATAACCAACGATTTAGACTTAGATTTAGACAGAAATTAATGCTGGATTTTCCTTTTCGGAAAGGAAGTTAAATTGATAAGCGACTACTCGCCGTGTTCTTGAAATTTCATGAAAGTTATTTTTTATAAAAAGTCTCGCGTAAAGGAGTGCGAATCTGAGAATGGTTATTTGGGTACGACTTGAAAATATGAAGTGTCCGTCATGTCCCAATGAAGGGTATGTCTATTAAAACACATTTTGAATTAATATAGGTTTACTCATTTTAATGGCAGGAATTTTGGCGTTTGATGATTGTCTTATCATTAAATGATTTGTAAAATCTTAGATCTGTTTGTATTAAACTAGATTATATATTTTCTGTATGTTTCAATGCATATAGTTATCAGTTCAGACACTTTTAAAACTATTGGAGTAAGTAAGTAAAGTAAGTAAGTAAGTAAGTAAGTAAGTAAGTAAGTAAGTAAGTAAGTAAGTAAGTAAGTAAGTAAATTGTTTATTATCTTGACATGTGCATTAACATAATTACAAATATACATATCATATAAGTAAACATAAAACTAGGCACCCGGCCCGATGGGCCTATATGTCACCATGGCAAATGATATTCATTATAACATGCTATAAAATATGAAATACATTTATGAAAGTTCTTAAGATTATATGGCGGTTTACTTCACAATTAGAATAAAAAATTTGAACAGTCATATCTTAAAGTCCTTAAGTATATTATTTTAGTACTTAGTGTTCTCACTTTATTTTTAGCACTTATACTTGGATGTGCGCAGAGGACGGAAATCCGACATATGTAAATGAGTTAGGAGTTATAGAATGTCAAGGCAGTGCACATACAGGTATGTTAATAATATACTATGCATTTTATTTACAGGTATTAAATGCTCACATGGTAAAAGACCTGATCATGTAACTTCTTTTATCAGTTTTTTTTTTTTGTTATGAACATGTCATTATAATTATTAAAATGCATAATAAGAAAGCATTCAGAGCCTGGGTTAGTCAGATAAACGAACAAAAATTAACCATTGCTTACCTATAACATGACTTGAACTTTAGCCCATCTCACACAGAAAACACGGCTTATACGGTTGGCCACCCGTGTAAACCGTACATACAACCGAACTAATATTGAGTTTAACCGAGTTACACTCGGGCCATTCGAATGTATCCGTGTAAGCCGTGTATGATTTTTAAAACTTTAAAAAAAAACTGGTACGGATGTAATGTCCATGTATGATCGTATAAACGACCGTACAAGACCGTAAGAGACCGTGTGAGACCGTATATACAACTGTATTTGAAGTCACTGAACGAGTGAGCCCAACCGTGCCAAGATCGTATATAAATCGTATGGAGTTCGAGACCGTCCCCAAGTCCTACATCCAACACCCAATTAACATCCGAATGTCACATGATCACGGTACGATTCATTCGAGTGCATAAACGGTTTCATACGATAGCCATACGACAAATACGGTTCAAGTACGAATCATACATGGCATACACGGTAAAGTACGGGTATACACGGTCTCACATGGCCTCGTATACGGTCTTACACGGCCTCTATATCAACATGAACTGTACAACGAAAGCCACAACTACCTGCTGCCACCCTCAATTGCTAGATCTACCCAGAGTACTTGCTGCATCATACTAGAATGTATCCAAAGAAGAAGGTTCCCACGCACAGACAGAACGCAAGAAGGGCCACCCAGGCCCACCTACCACTCCAACCTTCTGCCCCTGGCGAGCCTGATGAGCAGGGGGACCCATCAATGTCTGTCAGGCTTATCATGAGTTCTAATTCCCTTATCCTGTCATCTGTTGCATCTGGCATTGTTTTATATAACCAATATTCACATTCATTTTGTATATAGGTAGGTGTTCTTCGAAAATTTATAAGCCAAGCCATCAGAATGGGTCAATTTATATCAAATATACACAAATATGTGATAATTCGAGCATAACTCGAACAAAAGTCGGCGGGACTCTATGTAAACCCTGTGAAGGTCGAGTAAATCGAGTAAAAGGCGTGTTTAATTGTACTAAGATTTTTTCAGCGGGCGCCCTCGGGCAGGTATAAAACAATGCAATGAATTAAGATGTAATTGAGAACAACGGAGAATGTAGACGGTCTCAGCCAGATAGATTCCAAATAAATAATACAAGATTCAATCATAATTATAAAACACACATACATTATGTCGGGATATGTTAAAAGCGTTCATGTTTCAGTATGATTATAAAGAAATTAAGTTGTCTGACGATACGATAATAATCGTAACATTTATCTTCCGGTGTCGACGAGCGTAACTAGGTCTACGGTTTATACATGCTTTTAATTATCACGAATAAAACACTTCTGCTCATCATCACCATAATAAACATAATCAGCAGCATCAAAATCAACATAATTCTGCTCATCATCAATATAATCATCATCACCATCATCAAACTAACTAACTTCCGCTCATAATCACCACACGCCTGGTAAATGTCGCTACTTCCATCGCTAAAATCAGGTGTGTTCAAAGGTAAAGGGTTATCATTGTTTACATATATTGTAAACTCAATACCAAATATCGAAATTCAGAGAATGCTGTGCCATGTAGATTTGATTAATACTTCCAGAAAACGTAAAGTTGTTATGATTGTGTTTGAAATGTATTCGTGGCGCCGTTTCCCAGTCGGACTTAGGTGAGTATCCGAGTACTCGGATAATCACGAATCAAAATGAAAAATCGAGTGCGAATATTCGTAAGTCCAGAGATCGTGGATCGCCATCTTATGTAATAGTTATAGTATATGAAACGAGTTAGTTACGAGGATATAACACTGGTTGAGCGACATCAAGGGGTGTTTCTGCTAAAATATGTCGAGGTCGTAAGGCCGAGACAATTTTGTTGCAGAAACATCCCGACATATATGTCACCTTCTCATTCCAAGATAAAAAGAACCAATACCAACTAATGATGTTGTAAGCTACCTACAGCTATAATATTGAAAACTTTAAAAAAAAAAAAAAAAAAAAAACGTCCAATGATAGAGATGGATTGTAAACTGACTGTTTTGATTTCAGCAGTTGTATAATTATATGAGAATATGAGAATAAATTCATTTCATTAATTTTCTTTCACAATTTTTTTTTCTTTTTTTCTTTCTTTTTTCTTTTTTTTTTCTTTTTTGTTTGTTTGTTTTGTTTTTTTTTTTTTTTTTTTTAGGGGGGGGGGAATGTTCGTTACCGCTGCCCAATTGGAGCCTCAGTGAAAAACTATACAGGTTTTGGTTTTAAACATATTTGCGAAAAAAGTTCTTGCAACTTATATTAATAACTGTCGAGTCCGCTTCCTGGAACCAACCAGTCAGTCATTTGAAAAAAACATGGTCGTGACTAGGGACCCGAGTAGGGCTGAGAGGCAGACACCTTAACCATTAGGCCACCGCTACCCTTAACTATACTAATATATACAAGGTGTGAAAAAAAACCTCAGACTGCTAAATAGCTGTTGAGTTTTTTTTTTCCTATATGAATCAATGAAAAAACTGTACTGCTATATATCAATACAGTTGAAAGTATACTGAGAATAAATAGTAAGTAAGAACAAAGAAAAAGTTACAAACCATGCGATAATCGTTTATAATACAGTCGCTGTTTCTCAAAATAATTTGAGTATGAATTATCTAACGTTTACCTAAATACAATTTGCCGATTAAAGACACAGGAAGTAAAAAATCGTATGCCATGATGCTGAGCTAAGAAGTCATTAGTTTCGAAATATGAATCATCTTTATTGAGCACTATATTTTTACATGAAAATAAATAAATATTTTAGTCTCTATTTATAGATTTATAATAACTTGACATGACTGTATCGGAGACGGTTTTATTTTTAATAATCCAAAATTTGCGAAACTCAAGTTAATACGTCACACATCCTGTCTGTAAGGAGTTGCGCCAATATAAAATTCCACAAGCAAAATTTACTTCTAATGTTTTGTTAAGCTTGTCTTAACTCTTTACATATTATAACACAAGTATAATTTGTACCACCGGTATAAGTCAGCTCGCCATGGCATGTTTTACAATCTGCTTTTTTCTCATTTTCAGTTGAAATTACAAAAGTATTTCCAAACATTGGAAGTAAATTTTGCTGGTAGAATTTCATATTGGCGCGACTGTTTTCTACCTTTAAACCTCCCCCCATTGCCCAGTTACCAAATTTAGCGATGAAATGGTTCGTTTCATCATGCAACAGATTATTTTCCCTCCAGTTCTCATCCAGCGATTCAGATTAATACAAACACATTTTAAGTAGATATATGGTGTGATCAGATCAAAACATCGGTAACTATTAAATATTGAAGAAAATATATGATATAATTTATTCTGGAAGACAGCTCTGTCGTGAAGGAGGTAGTTATGTCGCCAAGGAGATAGCTCTTTGTATACGTATTAAGTATCTGGTTGTCTTTGAATATTTTATTCATTATATTTTACACGTCACATAAAATTTAATAAAAACATAATTATACTGATGTAATTATTTTACATGTATAACATGGCGTATTTTCAATATTTTGCATCATAAAATATTAACATTTACATCGTTCAAATTATTATCGTCACACTGGAGGTGACTCAATTGTTTTTACTGTAACAACTTTTACTTTGTATTTAAGTGATAAACAGTATACAGCATTATTGCTCCGCGCCCACAGGCGCGGAGCTATTTGTGTTTACTATTTTTTTGTCCATGGACCCGGATTTGAGCAATAAATCCTTTCGATTAACAGCTAAAAGTAAATCCGCATTCAAGAACTCCTTTCGATTTCTATATTGGTTTCCCCTTCGGTGAATCGCAGCATGTCATATTAATGAATGAGAACCGGAAAGCAGTTCTGCTGTTACATAAATTCGAAAGCTATAAATAGCTATAAATGTTACTTCGGTTATAAATTTGTTATTTCCCTTTTTTAGTAGTACATGAAATTGTAATTTGTTACATTTTGAAATACATTTACACGCAGCATATCAAGTATACTATTAGTGATTGAATTTGTCAATATAAAGAAGATTTCAGGCATAAGATTTTAACAATTTTGCTTTTGATAATTATTTTTAATTTATATTTATGAAATTAAATGTTTAATAATAACATGTTTATATATTGATTGTTTTGAAATAATTAAACTTTAGTATATAAAGTTACATTTCATTCGCGTCATTGGAACAGCATACCACTTTGTGAAACAGAAAAAAGTTAGTGGTATGACTGGTGATTAGTTCGGGGGTACGTACTCGACAACGAAAGCTGCATTTGGTATCCGCTGCATTTTGCATCCTTACGAGCGGATGGACCTTCATTAAGGTGTTTCCGCTCTCTCAGCCGTGTTTGTTTTCACAAAGTCAGTCCAAAGTGAAAGTAGACCAAAATTCATATAACAACAAAGCTCACATTGTTATATGATGAGCCATTTCCAAGTACACTTCCAATTCTATGTTTAAAAGAACATTTTAAACAAAAATAAAAATGATAACAATAAGAAATTTACCTTGAATCGGCTTCATTTCTGAAGACCAAAAACATTCTGTTGCAAAGTTTTATGCACATTTCATGAATGGCAAAATCCAGTTTAAAATCTATTTTAGTGCAAACAAATGCTATTTTTTGCAGAAAATACAAAAATCTTTGATAATTTCACTGTTTTGAATTTAAGCCCCTCACGTTGTCTTTTTAAAACGTTTCTTTGCATATGATAAAAAGAAAATGTGTTTAGTTTAGTGTAAGATCGAAATATATTTCACCTTGTGAACACCAAATGTTCATATTTCACT